AGTACAGAGAAACAACAACAAACCACACAAAAAGGTCGCGTTGTCCCCACTGCAAGGGGAGCGAGCACAGCACCGCGCTGCAGGCTGGCCTCTGTGACCACTCTCATGGGCTGCTAGATGGGTAATGCAGGAACTCCTGGTCCTCTGAGGCATGAGGTGTCACACGGATTTGGGGACTGCACTTGTCACACAGTGCAGGCACGACTGAGGTGAGGAGGAGTGGCAGGGGGGGTTCCCCCTGGGTGGTCCGTAGTGCACCAGCTCCGTGGCCAAGTCCTTGGAGTTATCGGCTGCAGAGACAAGGAACAGTGAGAACATGGAAGCTCATCCCTATCCCCAACCTGCATCATGCTGCATGAGGGGCACATGCTGTAGGCTTTTGGTTGGCTAAGTAATTGCTGAGTAATCCTGGGGCAAACAAGGACAGAGGTGGGCAGTGAATGGGAGCTGAACAAGGTACTGGACAGTCGCAAATCGCACAAAGCACAATGTCTTGGCAAGGTCTCACTTTGAGGTTTTTTTTTTTTGCTCATTTTGGCTCAGCATGAAAAACAGGCAGGTCCCTACCTACCACCAGAGCTGGTGAAGCAGCAACTCCCAAGCATTAGTTTCCAAGCTTTATGCTTTAGTTTTGGGTAGAAGGCAGCTGAGGGACTCCAGCTGCATGACTTCCAGAAGACTCCTGCATGTTTTAAGGAGGAGCCTGCTGTGCTGGACCTACTCTGGAAGAAGGACCTTTCCCCAGAGCCATGGGCCTCTCTCAGAGGGGAGTCCACCTTCTCCTTGAAAGGTGTTGCAGAGACTGCACCACTGTTGGGAACGAAGGAGGAATTCACTAGTGTTTCCCCAAGAATCGCACACCACACGTACCAGGGTGAAGTGCACGTTCTTGATGGCCACTCACTGGACTCCCAACATCCCCTTTAGAGAGCACGCTGCCAGAGGGGATAAGCTCAGGGTCTGAGTGGACAAGAACTGGTGCCACACCGACATTAGGGTTTAGTCTGCTCCCCCAGTACAAGAAGGAAAGAAAAGCTGGCTGCAAACACAACCTGTGCCTAACACAGTCCGAGCCTCAACCTGACCAGGGCCAGCAGGCAACGCTCCTGCATTCATGCACAAACATTTACTTGCAAGAAAACTTACTGGGCAGCAAGTCATAGCTCAGCTGTCGATGCAACTTGTCCTCCAGGATCAGCAGAAGAGTAAGCTGCAGAAAGAAGAGAGTGCTCTTTACAAACAGATCTTTACAAATCTTTTCTCCATAAAATTACAAACACCAGTTTTTTCCATAAGAGAGAAAGGTGCTGACTCTTCCATCAGCACCAGAAACAACTGGCAGTGGTGAGCAGGGAGGATGTTGGCAACAGCCAAGATGCTGGATGTCTTTGGTAGAGTAGTTTGAGTGTCCTAGAGGAATGTTCTCTCAACAGTTACAGCTAACCTCCAACTGTTAAACTAGAGAGAAGTAGACTTAAAAGATGTCCAGACAGAGATGTCAAGGTCTTCCTGTCCCACAGCCAGAAGAGGCTGGTGGCTCTGTTCTTCTTTGGGCTTCTTTTATTAAAAAGGGACAAGAGTAAGTCCCTTGGGTACTGCAGCAAACTAGCTGAGACCAAACTTTTTCCCAGTCAGATGACAGAGATGGGTACAGAGAGCAGGTCTTGCCCCAGTGCCTCATGCAGAATAGGAGCTGAATACTTACATGCCACTGGGTCTTGTCTTCATTCAGCTCCATGTTACATTGCATTTGCACCACCTAGAAGAGGCCAAAATCAACATCAGCTTGGACACAGTCCCTCTGGCTCCCCCAGCCCTGCTTTACTTCTCCTCTCCAGGCATCTCTCAAATTCCTACTTAAACCCCTTAATCCCAACTGCCAGCTTGACCTTCCTCTTCTACCCACATTTCTAGGAATTGTCTGGGTGGAGCAGCTGTGGGTTAATTTAGTCCAGTATCCAACTAGGAACCGTGGGCGTTGTCAGATGACTGGGAGGTGGGTAAGGGAGCCCTGCACAAGGTGTGTTTCTGGGAAAATGTTACAACCAGGATGAATTCTTCATCTGCCAGGTGTAGGCTTCCCCCTAAAGCTCTGCCCAAACTCTTGGTTACGTGTTAATATTGTGCTTGTTGATGTCCTTATGGGATAACCAATCCTTAAATCAGACTAAAGAGCAAAAGTGAAATCTTGAATGTTATTAAAATGACATAGGGATTTTCTTTTGGAAACCCCACATTGCATTGCAGAATGTATGACCTTTACACACTGAATTACACTGAACTGCACAGCGTCTTGCATTTGTCATCAAAGAGAAGGCTGATGATGTTTAAGTGCATCATTGCCACCTGCTCCCCACCACCCTCTACCTGATGCCCATGACCAAAGAATCGGTTAGGTGGGAAGGGACACCAGGAGGTCTCTAGTCCAAGTCCCTGCTCAAAACAAGACAAACAGTGAATTCAGACCAGGTTATTTAGAGCTCTGCCCAATTTGGTTTTGAAAACCTCCAAGAAGATCCTATAATCTCTCTTGGCCTCTGGTCCATAGTTCAGCCATCCCAACTGTGGAAAAAATTTCCTTGGATCCAGCCAGCATCCACGTTCTGGTGCCTCCCAGAACAGACAAAGAGCCTGCATTGTAGCTACACTCATGTGGGACTTGCAGGTTTGTCCAGCTGCGAGTTTTCAAGAGATCTGTAGAAACTCATTGCTTCTGAGATTCCTAGTCCTTTGTCAAACTGGGTAAAAACCAGTTGAAGACACTGGCCAGAGAGACAATGCACCTGCAGAACTTTCCTTGGGGCACTACGTGAAAAAAGCAGCATATAACAAAGAGGGGAAAGAGGGGAAAAGCCGTAACATTTACACTTCTCTAACACATCCGACTGACCACCACAGCACTCGCACTGCAAATAAGCACTGAGCAGCATGAATAAAGTGTGAGTTAAGAGCACTGATTCCCAGACAGGTATGAAGAAACCACTGCAGATGTAGCAGGTCAGGAGACAGAAGCTGCTGTGTCTGAGCTCTGCCCTGATGATGGTGGCCAACAATGTTGTCTCCCCATATGCATGTCAGCAAAGAACAAATGCCAGCTCCTGTCCCTGGGAAGGAACCATCCCTGGCAAGGACACAGGCTGGGACTGCCTGGCTGGCAGGAAAGCTTTACTGGCTCTTCTGGAAAGACTCTGGGGTCGTGGTGGGCAGCAGGCAGGACATGAGGTGCAACGTGCCCTGGCAGCAAGGAAGGCCAACAGCCTCCTGGGGCACAGCCAGGATATTGAGGGAAATAATTATTCCCTTCTACTCAGCACTTGCTAAACTACATCCAGGAACTGCATCTAATTTTGGGTGCCCAAAACAAGACAGACATCAATAAACTGGAGCAATGGAGGGCCATCAAAATGATCCTGGGCTGGAGTGCTTGCCCTCTGAGAAGAGGCTGAGGGAACAGGACTTCAGCCTGGAGAAGGGAAGGCTTTGGGGGGACCTGAGGGCAGCTTGCCCACACCCATGAGGGGGTTACACTGCAGCATGGAACTGCTTTGTTCAGTGGGGGATTGGAAAGCTTCACTTCTGCTCAAACACTCTCGTGCTGTGTTGGTCCTTCCCTGCTCTCCCTACCTGGCACCCCTTCCACTCCCCTCAGGGGTCCATAAACCCACTTGCAATGACCTTCCTACCTTTAACTTCAACTTACAGGTTGCCCAGGGCAGTGGTGGAGTCCCCCTCCCTGGAGGGATTGAAGAGTCGTGTAGACACAGTGCTGAGGGACATGGGTTAGTCATAAGGGACTTGTCAGTGTTGGGTTCATGGTTGGACTCAGTGACTTTAAAGGGCTTTTCCAGCCTGGGTGATTGTGTGATTCAGTGTCAGGGTGTGCAGTCTCACCTGTGCAGTGCCAGGCAGAACAGGACCTGATCTCAGGTGGCATCTCAGCACGTCACTGCAGTGTCGTATCAAACAACGACGGGATTTCAAACCTACACCCCAGAATACGCCGTGCCATAGAGCTGCCTGTGGGTGGGTGAGGAGGGAAGGCAGAGCCAAAGCACCACAGTGCTGGGTTTTGGTAGAGATCACAGAATCACAGACTGGTGGGGTGGGAGGGGACCTCTGGAGATCATCCAGTCCAACCTCCCTGCCCAAGCAGGTCCATCTCAAGCAGGTTGCACAGGATGGTGTCCAGGTGGGTTTGAACATCTCCAGAGAAGGAGACTCCACACCCTCTCTGGGCAGTCTGTCCCAGGGCTCTGGCACCCTCACGGTGAAGAAATTTTTCATCATGTTTAAATGGAACCTCTCGTGTTCCAGCTTGTGCCTGTTGGCCCTTGTCCTATTGCTGGCCACCACTGAAAAGAGTCTGGCCCCAGAAGCAATGGGGCTGCACCAGGTCTCAGGTGAAATGGACCTCACTAGCTCCAGCCAAAGGGACTGCCACAGTCCTGGGATAGCAAATGCAGACTGTCCACCTGCTCCCAGTGGAGAATCTGTCCCCACCTGGATCTGACCTTACCTTCCTGGTCTCCACATCAAAGGGCTCTGGGGTGGGAGTCTTGGCTTTCTGAGGGTCCTCCTGGGGTTGGGAGAGCACACGTGGGAGGGCGTGGGGTCTGGAAACGGCGAAGTTCATCAAGGGATAAATCCCATTCCTGGTACAGACACAGAGGGAGGACAAACAGCTGAGCCCTGTCCTCCTACAGCCCTGGCCAAGGTCAGCTGTGGAAGGTCATGGCCCAGAGCAGGGACCTGCGCCTGTGGAGCAGCAGTGCTGGCTGGCAGGCAGCACGGTGAGGAGGCAACAGGCCACAGAGCTCCCCTGGCCCTGGCACTGCAGCCCAGGGCTGCTCGCCCGCAGAGGGGGTCACACGCGACCAAGGGTGGTGAGAATGGGACACCCTTTAAGTGCTGCAGCACCGTCCCCTGACCGTGGCTCCATTCTGCCCAGGGAGCTGAGGGCAGCGAGATGCTGGGACCAGGGTTGGGTAGACACATTACAGGTCAGTCACCACCACCTCCAACCCACCTGACATCTTCTAAGAACTTGTCGAGTTCAAGGAAGGAGACTTCTGAGTACCTGGGTGAAAAACAGGACAGGAAGATGACTGGGAGAGGCAGGAGAGAAGAGCAGCACGAAGGACTTTTCATAAGGGCAGTTAATGACAAAACAAGGGGAAATGGGTTTAAGCTGAAAGAGGGGAGGTTTAGATGAGATATTAGGAAGAAGTTCTTCACTGTGAGGGTGGTCAGACACTGGAACACGTTGCCCAGAGAAGCTGTGGCTGCTCCTCCCTGGAAGTGTTCTCGGCCAGGTTGGATGAGGCTTTGAGCAACCTGGTCTAGTGGAAGGTGTCCCTGCTGATGGCAGAGGGGTTGGAACTAGAGGAGCTTTAAGGTCCCTTCCAACCCAAACCATTCTATGATTCTATGATTCTGTGAGCGCTGTGCCATGATACCAGGACCACCAGGCTGGATGCAAGTCCTGGGCTCACAGCTATGAAATGTCCCCTGCTGATCCTCACCTCCACTGTGCTCCGGGCCGACCCTCTCTCCGTATCTCTGCCATCACCATGTTCAGGTCCAGTTCCTTTATCTTTTCCTCCACCACATTCTCTGGCATCAGATCTACAGCAAAGGCAGAAAGGGGCTGTCAGCTGGACACGGACCCCAGGGAAGGTCTCTGCCTTTCTCCTCAGGCACTTCCACATCCCTGGTTCTGCTGGGGCAAGGATGGAAGCTCAGATGGGGCAGGGTGGTCTCACAGTTACTCACACTGGTTGTTGATGAAGCAGTGTGCTGCCAGCAGCTTGAGGGAATGGACCTCAAAGAGCACCCGGTGGAAGAGCAGGTTATTAGCTGTCGGTCGCTTGTCTGGGTTGAGGGTCAAGCACGACAGAATGAACTCCTGAGGGTCAAAGAAAAGGCACAAACTGGAGGCAAAGCAGGACATTCCCCTGCTCCATCCCCACCGCTGCCAGCCCCGGCTGCCTCTCACACCTGGAGGGTATGGAGCACCCAAGCTGCGGCAGGCCGGCCTGCTGTGGGGGGGGA